TCCTCCAGGGCTGGGAGCTCAGCGCAGTGGGGGGGAGGGTGCTGGGGAGCCTCAGTTTCCCTGTGGGGAGACGGTACGCCCACGCACCCCCAGGCCTCGGGCTAGAAGCGTGCACATAGCCGAGCAACCCCTGCTCACTGTCAGGGGCGTGGGGAAGGCGCTCAGCTCAACAACCCTCCGCAAAAGTGCTGGATTCCAGTACCGCGGGGCTCGGAGGAGCCGACCTGGCCTAGGCAGGCACCGTGGGGCACCCACAACACCAGGAAGCACATCCTTCTAAGTGGTGGCCTGTTTACCTCCTTCACCACCAGAGATTGCATTCAGAGCCTTTGCACAGAACTACATCCTTAGCCCCTTGGAATTTTATTTTAAGACAAGTTCTTGGTAAGTTGGTGAGTTGCTCGGGCTGAGCTTGAACTTGCTATTTATTCTCCTGTCTCAGTCTCCCAGTGCTGTGAGATTACAAATGTGTGCCACCACTCCCGGTGGGTATGCAGCTTTTAGGCACTGTTTTCATTGTATTTAAAACAGTGGTGAATCTTGAAAAATTAATGCTGATGGAAGCAGCTCACTGGAAATAAGCTATCACAGCATTTATATAAATTAAGAGATGCACAAAGCAACACACTTAATTCTGCATCTGTATCTATCGTCTGTCTATCCATCTATTGACAATTAGGACTAGGGGCTGGGGATTTAGCTCAGTGGCATAAGCACCTGCCTTGCAAGCAGGCAGTCGTGAGTTCGATCCCCAGTACTGATAAAAAAGAAAAAGACAAAAAAAAAAATTAGGATTAGTATCATTTTGTACTAATATAAGAAAAAATATTTATAAAGATAAAAACCAGTGGTGCAGGCTGAAGGCTCTGGGGGTGCCAAGCTCATACCTACATTGCTGTGTGTCTCTGGACAAGTTACTGAACTTCTCTGTGCCTTTGTTACTTCATCCATAAAACTTGGACAAGAGTAGCTCTTGCCTGGCAGAGATGTTGGACAAGGGGAGTGAGAAGACACAGATACCCAGCTCCTGCTCACCCTCCAGGCCTCTCTTTCTACCCCACTACTCCCAACAACTCCTTCGGCCTGTCAGCTCCCTTGCAGCAGGCCAAACATCCCAAGCTTGTTCTCACCTCAGGACCTTTGCACTTGCTGCTCTCTCCACCCAGTTCACCCTCTGCCTAGACAGCCCATGTCTTGTCACCGCAGGTCTCAACTCCAAAACTACCTCGTTGGTGTCACCTACCAACTCTCCCGGTCATCTGCACAAGGGCTCCTATTCCTCCATCTTATGAGTGTCCCCAGCCCTAGGCTCATTTGCTGAGTGTAAAGACTCGAAAGCCTGGTCTCCACTTTGTCAGTGGGCTCCTCCTCCCTTCCAGGAGCTTTTTCCCCAGGTCTGGGCCACTCCTGCCCCTCCAGATCCAGACACAGCTCTGGACTGGGCCCAGCTGAGACCTGTCAGTCAGACAGTGGTGCCGCCCCCAGGCACAGCACTCCCGCGGGATTTCTCAGCAGGCCAGGGCAGGTCAGGAGGCCTTGCGCTCAAGAATGAGTCAAGAGAGGCCAAAACTGAAACCTCAGAGTCGACAGCCCTTCCTGGAAAGGCAGGAACCTCAGAGGCTACTGCCCTTCATGGAAACGCAGAAGCAGAGGGTCTAGATGAAATCGTCTCAGGGACTGTGGGCCTCCAGGAAGCCAGGTCCACTTGCTCTGTGTGAATTCCTAGTCTGCTCTCCCAGCCTCGACCCCTGGCCTCTCTCAGCGCTGCTGCCTCCAAGAGGGACTCTCCCTGCTGCCACACTCTCTCAGGCCTGACAAGATGATACAGGTCCCCGTCTCTCAGGTCAAATCCTTAGGCGGGGCAGCGGGGTGGGGTGAGGGGATTGCCTATACCAACGATTCCTGGATGTGCTGACTGTCTCCCCAGGCCCCAGAGCAGTGCCCACTGATCAAGCACATTGTGGTCACTGCCCGAGGACATCAGACCATTCACACCTTGCAGGATGCAGACTCCACCGGCCCCTCCTTCAGCCCAGGCCACAGCTGGCTTCCAATTCAGTTATGGCAAGTTGTCAGTTTCTAGAGCTGGTGGACTTTGGAATGTGAGCTAAAGGCTGTATATACTTGTGTATGGCCTGTCTGGTTCCACCAGGGCACGGGGCCTATAAAAACTACCTGATGGACACCCTCTTCTCAAATGCCATCAACAGACAAAGGGAGGCTCAGGAGCTAAGCAATTTGCTGTGAACTGCAGAAAACTCAGATCTAAGAAAAACTGGGGCCCTGTCTTTACGCCTATGTCCTTCTCTCTGCCTCAGAGAGCCCGCCAAGTCATCAACCAACAGGACGATTAACAGCCTGAAGCTGTGTCATAGCTCGTAGAAACCTCAAGCCTCACTGGGTACACCAGTTGGACTCAAGAGAGGGCGAGTTTGGACAAGCTCCCGACAAGCCTTGCGTGCAGAAAGTGTAGGCAGGTGTGGCTGGGCTTCTCTCCACAGTGCCAGCTGGCCCTCAGCCATACTCAGTGGGAAAGAACACAGGTGAGAAGGGAAGCAGGCTCGAATCCCTCCCTTTGACACTCAGACAGGCACCTCAAGCAAGGCCTGGGGTGGGGACATCCCTGGGGCTCAGTTTCTTCACCTGCAAAATGAGTCAACTCAATCTTATCTGTTGGAGTTCATAGCAGAAGACCATAAAAGATATGTTTATTTAGCAAACACAAAGTGACTCGACACACCTGGTGAAGCTTTGTGTATTTGACATAAGTTAACACAGATAACCGTCATCAAAATGTAATATAAAGCAGTCCCTAGAATGTCACACACTGGAGACTGAGGTTTTGAGGAGCGAGATCCTTAGCAAGCTAGTAAAGCCAATATTTGAATTTGGTCAGTCTTGCTCTGGAGTCCTTATTTTTAGCTTCCAAGCCACATCTCCTGACAAGGGGTAACTGAGAGAAAGCTCCTGTGGACCTACTATGTGTTGAACCAGGAATGCCCACTGAAGAGACCCAGGCTCTTGTCCCTGCCTGTCCACCCTGGACACAGTGGGAGGTGGACTGTGGCTAATCCTGGACTTGGGGTGCAGGGCAGGTCTTCTCACACCTCCTTTCCTCCCCCCTGCTTAACTTTCAGCAGCAGAAGCTACAGGGCTTGGAAATCCTTCCTTGGCTTCTCCTCCCAAGGGTTCTGCAGTCCTGGGACTGTGCTGCTAGGTGTGGTGGGACACGCCTGCAACTTTGGCATTCTGGGAGACTGAGGCAGAAAGATCTCAAATTTGAGCCCAGCCTGGGCAACTTGGAGACTTAATGAGACCTTGTCTCAAAATAAGACATAAAAAGGGCTGGGGATGTAGCTTAGTGCAAAGGCCCTGGCTTCAATCGCCAGTACCACAAAAAAAGGAAAAAAAACATTCAGATCAGTCACTGAGTCACTGCAGACTCTGCAAGCCTTCAGGCCATCGCAGACCTGCCCTGCTGGTAAATGGGCTGCTCACTCACTGGGGCTTTCCTCACAGCTGCCTCCCATGGCCTCCCTCCAGACTTGGTGGAAGGGACTCGGGCATCTGTACGGTACCTCTGTGGCTCATTAAATGGTGATGTTCGCTGGCCCTGGCTCCTCATCCAAGGCCTCCCAGGCTGGCTCTCCTTTCCAAATCTCTTGGCTTCTCTCTACTTCCTAGGCTCCCCATGGTTCTAAATCTCCCCAGTTCTTGTCCGTGTTGTCCCTGCTGCCAGAGAGCCTTTCCCCAACCTGCCTCCCTTTCCCAGCCCCGAAACTGCTCTCGGCTACTCCATGCAGAGGTCCCTTTCCCAAAAGAGTTGATTATGGAACCTATTGTGGTCCCTCAGCCACAGCCCCAATCCCTGTCCACACTCCACAACTCTTCCACAACTCCACTGCCAGGCTGTCTCCTTCATTGGCCAAAACAGCAAGAGCACCTGAAAAGCTCGGGGAATAGTCTCATTACTGGGCAGTTCAGCTGGTCACTCCCACTCAGTGCCTCAGTGTCCCTATCTGTAATCGCGGGCTGCCTAGCTGAGTCCCAAGAGACCTTGGCAGGACTTTGGAATCCCTCCATGGTGTAGACCACCCTGCCATAATTCACTGGCGCCTCAGTTTCCCCCTCAAACTTTTGGATGAGACTAATGTCTTATCAAAAGCCCAGGCCTTCTAAAAAGCCACTGTAGCAGAAGCTACATCACCCAGAGAGCTGAAGAAGGACAGAGACGGCTCAGGCAGGCTTAGAGCTGGTCTGGGGACAACCTCGGAGTCTCAGCAGCAGACAAGCTGCAGGTTGTTAATTTACTCAAAATGAAATTTTAAAAAGTAAAAATCTGAGTCGTTGGCTTATTTACTCTGAAAGGGGAAAGGGCCTGGGAGTCTCCGTTCCACAAAAACTCCCTGGAGAATCAGGTTACCCAGCGAGTTTCACACTGCTGGGAGGGGGACAGCCCCGGGTCTGACCCCCAGCCCAGGGCCCCAACTGGGGCACGTGACTAACCCGGGGTCTCGGCGGTGCCCACAGTGGCCACGACACAGTGCGGCCCGCAGAGAAGCTGAGCTTCACTCAACACCTTCTGCGATCAGGACACAGCCTGAACAAAGTCCCAGGACTCGATCTCCGTGACTGGATCGATCCGGTACTCGGAGGCGGCACCCCAAGGCTGGCCCGGCCTCCAGTCGCAGGATCCCCCGACCCGGCGCCCGGCGGAACACTTCCCAGGACCGATCACCCACTTCCCGCCAGCTACACCGTGGCGCACGGCGTCCCCCTCGGACGAGGGCCCCTGCTGAGGCCGCACTGCTCCGCGCGGCTGGGAGGCTCCGCCGACACCCCCGCCCCCGCCTCGGGCTCCGGTCGGCGCGGGCGTTCGCTACCCACTTAGGTCGGGACATCCCCAGGTCCCCTAGGCCGGGGGCCCGGAGCCTTCCCGGCGCCGGCCGCGTGCCCAGGCGGCCGCCCTCGGCTCCGATCGCGCGCGGCCCGGTTCCTACCTGCGCGCTCCTGCTCCATTCGCCGCCCAGTCGCCTGAGCGCTAAGCGGGCAACCCAGGCTGCCCGGCCGCCCAGCACCGCGAGCGGCTTTCCTAGGCTGGAGACCAGCCCGTCTTTGCTTCCTGCGCCCCGCCCTTTATTTGCATGCACCGCCTCATACCCCATATTTGCATGCTCCTCTATGGCCCTGTGTGCGCACGCCCCGTACCTCATTTGCATGCGCCGCCCCCTGCGCACCAGACCACGCCCCCGGAGAGCTCAGCCCTGTGCTCCAGCAAGCTCCCACCCTGGAGCCCAATGTGTCCCTCAGAGGCCTGCGGAGGACATTGCCAGCCCTCCTTGCCCTGGCCTCGATTTGTGGAGGGGCCTGCGTTGGGGTAGGAGGCTGCACTACTCGAATCCTTCCTCTCCAGCAGCCCATCTCTCAGGCACCAATGTTTGCTCTGTCTTTCAGTAATGGTTACCAAATGCCTAAGCTAGAAAACTGGCAAAACACCTTTCAATAGCCTAAAAATTTGCAGGCCCCTGCTGAGGAACTTCACGCATCTGGACACTTAATCCTCGAGGTTACTCAATTAGGGGGTTATACGACAGTGACCCCTCCCCCATTTACAAGTGGGGAAATTGAGGCACGAAGCTGGTAAAAAAATTTGCTTAGAATTACACAGCGTGTAAGCAATGAAGCTGAGCTCTATATACTACCAAACGCTGTTCACCAGGAAACCCTGAGGGAGCTAGATGGCAGGAAAAAAAAACTGCAAAGTATTTCAGGTAGTAAAAAGCCCCTGAGAAAATCAAACTGCAACAGACTCCTTAGGCCACTAGCTCAGGAGCTCAAAGGATCTCTTGCATCTGAAAGTGCAGGGTTGGGAGAGGTTTTGGCAGGGAGAGGGAGATGGAAGAAGCAAGGGCAAGTGCAGAGGCCTGGGGCGTGACCCCACTTAACATACTTGAGGGACTGCAGAAAGCCAGGGTCCCTGCGAGTCAGCAGAGGGACGGAGGGACGGAGGTGAGAGGGGAGAATATGTCAACTCTGGCTTAGCAGTGCAGGGCACTGGGGAGGAATGGGGCCTGTCCTGCCTAGAAAGAGCTCCCAGTCTGAAGGAAGAAGCCACCTTCTCAGAGCCAGGGTAGCCTATTCGATTTGACACTGGTTTAGACGGAGCCAGGGAAGCAGCAAAGCCTCTGCTGAATGCGGGTTGGCTCCCAGGGGAGAGGCGCAGTACTTAGGGCGTTTTGTCAGGCACTCATCACGTTGGCCCTGCTGCATGTCAGACCTGGAGATGAGTGCTGTGGGTAAAGGCCTAACATGCACCAAGGCACCACTGCTGTCTGAGACTCGCAAAGTCGCCAAGCTAACTCTCACGCAGACAGTGCAGTGGACTCAATTTGGATTGGCTTCCTGCAGGAAGTGGCCTCTGTCCAGAGACTGTGAGATTCAGTGGGGAAAGTGAGCAGGGGAGGAGAGTGAGAGACAGGTGCAGCCTCTGCCCCCCAAGCGTGCAGGTCTGGTTGGAGCAGTGACAAAGAGGGGGCCTGAGCATCATGACCCCCGGCAGAGTGACAGCAGGCCTTGGAGAGGGCCTGGGAAAGGGTTTCTGGAAAGGCAGGGCTCCTGGAGGAGCAGGAACTGTCCAGACCAGTGTGAGCCTTGCTCCTGTAACACACCCCTCCCACACCTTGCCCACACTTATGACACATCCACACATCCCACTCGGAGCCCAGGCCCCTTCCTGCTTTGTAGCTCACCCCGGCATGCTCCCCACTGGAAATACAGACACAGCTTTTGCTCTGAGTCTGAATGTGTACCCTCAGGAATCACCTTGGGAACGTGAGTTTGGGTTGGATGCTGTCTGGTCCCTGAGCTGGGCTCCCAGCCTATTTAATAGGTCCTTAAATTGTCCTGGTTTGCCCGCATGTCCCCATGTGTATATGCCAAGTCTGCTTCCTACTGGTCATGTGATGAGCAAAATGACTCTGCTTCCTGGCTCCAAAACACCGTCAGTAAACTGACACACAGTGCTATGCTTACAGCTGCATGTTGACGGTATATGTCTGTAAGCCCAGAACTCTGGGAGGCTGAGGCAGGAAGGTCACCAAGTTCAAGCCCATCCTGGACAACTTGGCCATTTAGCAGTACTCTGTCTCAAAATTAAAAATTAAGAAAGGGTTAGAGATGTAGCTCAGTGTAACCACCTCCTTGCAACCCCCAACGCCAAGGGCAAAAAGTATTTCGGACAAAGTCTGGTATGTATGAGGTGCTGAGTAAGTGTTCGTTAGAATCAAGACAAGAAAGAAGAGAACTCAGAGCTTTTCCTTTTGTGTTTGCGTGATTATGAAATGAAGAGCCAAACACTGCTGGTAAGATCAGAAAGAATGGTGCAAGTGTGGCCGGCTGAGAAACCAGATGTCTGGGAAATCTGGTGGAGGAGAGGAATTACAGGAATTTTGTGGGCTCTTTCTGCAACTTTTCCATAGGTCAGAGGTTATGTCAAAATAAAAAGCTAGAAGAAGCAGGGCTTTGTCTTGAGGCCCGAGAGAGGCAGCCGAGAGGAGGTTTATCTTCTTCTGTAGAGTTCTGCTGTCCAGTGGTCCAAATGTTATCAGCGGCTGCTCTGTCTGGCCTTGGAGTAGAGCTGGGAGCCCCAAATGATTAAAAGTCTGCCTCCCAACCCAGGGGCCTCCCGAGTCTCACCTCTTTCACAGTTCAGCTCCCGTAACATGCACCTCAGCACACAGTTGTTTTCAAGTCTATTTTTCGGTTTTTAGAAATTAACAGACTTCGTTTTTGGAACAGTTGACTTGATGAATACAGTAAACGCCTAGTACAGAGCTTCCTTGTATGCTGCGCCCAATTTCCTCCATTGTTAACATCGTGTGCTGGTGTGACACATTTGTTAAAAACTGATAACTTGGGCCAGGGATTTAGCTCAGTAGCATAAATGCCTGCCTGGCAAGCACGAGTTTGTGAGTTTGATCCCCGGTACCAAAGAAAACAAAAAAACTCTGATAACCTAGTACAGCGATGCTTTGATCCATAAATTGAACTCTTTCCACCAATTTCATGACTTGAGTTTCAGGCAGTACTGGGGTTTAACCCCAAAGCCTTTACATTGGGCTGTATCTCCAACCCTTTTTTATTTTTATTTTGAAACAGGGTCTTGCTGCATTGCTCAGGCTGGACTTGAATTTGCCGTCTTCCTGCCTCAGCCTCCCAGCATGCTGGAGTTACAGGTATACAATACCATATCCAGTCTAGAGTTCACATTAAACTTCAGTCTCTCTTGTGGGCTTGTCAAGTATCTAGCAATACAGCAGCACAGAAAACAGCTTTACTCCCTTAAACATCTCTTATGCTCTATTTACTCATGCTAAACTCTGGGGACCAGGGATATCTTTGTCCTGTTTCCATAGTTTTGCTCTTTTTCATAGGGTCCTTTGGTTGGGGTTAGAAAGTAGGGAGCCTGTTAAAACTGCCTTCCTTCACTCAGCAAGATGCTTTTAAGTTCTTCTATGTGTTTTTACAGCTTGAGCCTCATTTCTTTTGTTGTCGAGCAAGACTTCATTATGAAAGCTCCACAGTTTGCTTATTTATATTTGCTTTTTCTGAGACATGCTCTGGCCGGTAGTTCAGGCTATCCTTGAACTCAAGTCATACATAGCCCAGGCTGGCCTCAAACCTGCAGCAGTCTTCCTGCCTCAGCTTTCTGAGTGCTGGGATTCTAGGTACGCCACCACCGCACATGACCCATTTATTCACTTACTGAAAAACATCTTGGTTCCTTCCAGTTTAGGACAAGTTTGAATAAAGCTGATGTGGACACTTGTGTACAAAATTTTGCGTAGACTTAAGTTTTCAGCACAATTATGTAAACACCAGGGAATTCAATTGCTGAGTCTGCTGGGTCATGGGGTCAGACCATGTTCAGTGGTGTAAGAAAATGCTAACCCCGTCTTCCGGCTCAGCTGTACATTTCACATCATCAGCAGTGAATGCAAGCTTATTCTTACCAGCATTGGGTGTTGTGAGGTGTTTTGGATTTTAAGCTGCTCTGGTAGTTGTGTGATATCATCTCATTGCTGTTTTAATGGGCCATTACTAAACAGGATGTCAACCATCTTTTCAGTTGTGTTTTTACTATCTCCATATCTTTTTATTATTTTAAAAAGCAAAACAGAAAAAAAGGATAGAAACAATACAGAACTTCAAAAAATAGTAGGAAATTAACATTAGTTAGTATATTGCACAATGGGGCTGAGTATAACTCAGTGGCATAAGTGTCTGCCTGGCAAGCACGAGGTCATGAGTTCTATTTCTGATACCAAAAAACCATATAGATAGATAGAGAGAGAGAGAGAGAAAGAGAGAGTACATATTGCAATATTGCATATTGCATATATTGTTAGGCATAAAATGATTAAACAATCAAACAATGAAAGCTTGTTTATTGCTTATTAATATCTTTTGTCTATTTTCTTATTGTTGAGTTCTCAAAATTCTTAGTTTACTTTGAACACAAGTCCTTTATCAGGTAAGTGTTTCTCACGTCTATGCCTTATCTTTTCATTCTCACAGCAGTGTCATTTGCAAAGCAGACATTATAAATTTTGATAACATCCAAATGGCCTGTTGTTTATCAGTCATGTTTTTGACGCTATGTTTACTCACTGCCAAACCTAGATCCAAGATTTTATCCTATGATATCTTCTAAAGGTTTCCAGTTTGCATTTAGGTGCATGATCCATTGTGTGTGTGTGTGTGTGTGTGTGTGTGTGTGTGTGTGTGTGTGTGTGGAAGGCTTGTGGATGTATGTGTATAAATAAATATATATATATGTATATATATATATATACATATATATATGCAATTTTTAAAAGAAAGGTAGCAAGTTGGTCCACACTATTTATTGAAAGAGCTATCCTGTCTCTATTGAATCATCTTTGCTTCTTTATCAAAGATGACTCTATCTATGCAGGTTCATTGTAGGGCACCCTACCTGATTCCATTATTAGCATAGAGTCATAGTCCACTTTTAGAGTTGAGTAACATAGGTCCTCCAGCCTTGTTTCTGTTCTGTAACGTGGTGTTCATTGTTTCAAGTGTTTTTGAATTTCCATCTGACCTTTATAATGAGTCCATTTACATGCACT